TGCGTTTTTAATCGCAGTTTCTGGTATTTAAAGATGGCCAGTGTGTATTATTCTTTAACAGCAGTCCGAACTCTACCCCTGTATTTAGCAGCCCAACGGCAACTACTGCCTTAGTTGCAGGGCAGTTTTTCTGTGGTAGGAATCAAGAAACCAAAATCAGAACCAGCTTACGTTCCTGAAAGTGTTCCCAAGTTCCCTGGAAAAGTTGTGATGAATAAAATGGTGTAAACTCTGTCTCTCTCTCTGTTGGTGGAAATTAGTACAATATGTTCTGGCTTCTGCGCTACAGAAATTTTTGTTTTATTAAATGAATTTTAATGACTATCAGCCTCAAATGTGTCAAGTGTGCACATTCTTTCTCTGTTTCCATAACTGGCGGCCGTGACTGTTTCTCTCTTGTTTGAGTGGCCGAGACAACGTTTCCACCATATAGAGCTGGCTGAGTACTTAACAGCACAGGAAAACACAAACTAACGGATAAAACCAGCACACCTCGCACTCTGATCTCCTCTATTTGCAAGACTTAAAAAGCAGCGGTTGACTCTGAGGAATACGTGTACGGCCGATCGGCTGATGTTGGCCTCATGTAACCATGTGGCTTCCGTCATTCTGCTGGTAGAAAGCAGGGATTTCATTTCCTTATGACATCAACAAAATCTCAGGGGTTGAAAGAAGAAGCGGACATGTGATCAGTTTCACACTTCTCGATAGAGTTTGAGTGAATAATTCGTTCATGTGCAGAAAAGGCACAGTGCAAGTTGGTAAGAGAGCACAAGAGATCATTTTGTTTTCACACAACATTTTCCTTCTCCTTCCTTTGGCATGTGTGTGTTTCTGTGTGTGTGTGTGAGTTATGGTGGGCAGGGGCAGAGAGAGAGGTGTGAAGCCGTCGGCTGGAAGTCAGTCAGACAGTCTGTTGGGTGGTTGTGAATATCCATTATGCTTCATCAGGATGGACAAAGTGGAGTCATTGGGCGTGTGTGTGTGTGTGTGAATGATGAACGGCTGCATGAGTAATGACTGTTGTGTTGTGAGGTTGGAGCTGCCCCTGAACATGGACGGCTTCTGTGTGTGTGTGTGTGTGTGTGTGTGTGTGTGTGTGTGTGTTGCATCTCTGTGTGGGTTTTGGTCTATGCATCTTTTATGTTAGAGAGGCAGTTTCCATGCTTACACTGAGCTTTCTGTCTAATGACACAGACACGTGTACATGCACACTCGCGCTCTGTCTCTCTCACACACACACACACACACACACACACACATAAAAACATTCATGCACCCACACAAGTGAATGATTGTTTTCTGTATTCAATATGGAATTTTTCAATTTAACATTTTATCCCTACTGGGAATCGACACCTTATTCCTCCCACATTCCACAGGGCAACGGAAACCACCGTGTGTGTGTGTGTGTGTGTGTGTGTGTGTGTGTGTGTGTGTGTGTGTGTGTGTGTGTGAGATTTTGGGTGTCCGTGGATGGCGATTTCTGAGGCTATCAACAGCAGCATCCATCTGGTAATGATTCCACTGGAAAACAAAGGCTATTCTTCATTTATTATACATTAACGTTCTGACTATTCACATTATATTCTGTGGAAACCAGCAACTGCAAAACAAATCCTTAACATTTCTGCTGCATTTTATTTGCATCACAACACCTAAAACTCCCCAAAAAAGGAAAACCTGACTTCAGCCGACAAACGGCTGTTCATACTTTTACATGAACCTGCTTCTGCACTGTGTAATTTCACACATCAGTTGCTCCAAATTGCAGTGAAAGGTTAGCATTGACATTTAGCGGACGCCAAGGCATTAAATGATATATAACGAGACGTCCGTAGCGGTCTATAGTTAGTTTGACGCACTGCGAGGTGCTTATTCCTGAGTGAGAAGATCTCTAAAGCCAGCAAAGGGTTAGCTTAGCATAAAGACCGAAACCCTGGGCGCTGTGGGTCAGCCTAGAAAAAAATACATATGTATCTCAAAGATTGCTCTTTAAATGAGCCAAAAGTCACTGTCACCCACTCGCACTAAGTGCTGCCATGCTATTTATTATTTATGACGCCGTCTGCAGACGAAACGCAGCGATGGAGCTCTGCAAGCTGCAAACAGCTGTTGTGCCTCCCTTTGCTGGTTTTGACAGAGAATCATTCATGGATTAAAAGATATTTAGCGCTCTGCTGGTACTACCTTCTTAATGTGCGCTTTCTAATCACTGCAGCCAATTCTTTGGTTTGAGAAGAAAAGCCTCGTGTTGCTGCTGTTGTCTTCCGGTCAAATTTGCTCACTTCTGTAAGCAGAAAAGACTTCGCTCTACACCAGTTGCTTTAACATCATACAAATAGCCCACGTCGTTTTGAATCTCATTTACCAGTTGAGGCTGAGGTGTATTCATTACCGAAAGGATTGTAGGAATATAATGAATATCTCCAGGAAATTAGGGGCTATTTTGAGAATGCAGGGTTAGAGATGTCTCGGTCCGTCCTCGTCTTCATTCGCTTTCCACGTATCATCTAAATCATATAAAGCCCTCCTCTCTTCTCTGTCTCGCTCCTCTCTTTTTCCTGGCAAAGTTGAGAGTGGTGTTACCATCTGTCTGTGATGTGTCCTGGACACAACTATGTGTGTGTGTGTGTGTGTGAGGCAGGATGGCCAGGCTGAGCTGGGGACGGGGCTCAGATGGGGAAAGAGGGATAGTCTAAGGCTGAAGAAGACGGGAGATAAGAGAGAGGCTTGAAGGACGGTGACGCGTGAGTGTGTTTGTGTTGTAGCGGAGCACAGCTGCGATCCACTAACCCTGTCAAAGACCTCGCCGGTGCCAGATGACCGCCAGCTGAAAGGAAAGACACACGGGGACACGCAGCCGTTTTAGGGGGGATGCTATACGGGGGGTGCACAGTGCTGCTGTACGTATGTCAGAAATGAATATCAGCGCTGCGTCTTTAATAAACCACTGTACGTGTCTGTGAGGAGCCATTTGTCGGTAGATCTTTGGGTTGATTTCATTCACCACAGGAATCAGGAGACATTTATTACCAAGATATGTCAGACATCGGCAGGAATCTGACTTGGCGGTTGGTGCGGAACATCAGACAGTTCGACAACGGAGAACAAGACAGATAAGACGGCATAGTGCAAGAGGAATAAAATAAAATATAATGCTGTGGGTTAGTTTAAAAATAAAGAAATATGTGCATGTGCATGTGCAGCGTGAAGGGAGCGACCGGTGGGACGTCAGTCAGTGTCAGTGAGTCAGTCAGTGGGAGACCCGGCCCGACTGCCGACGGGGAGAAACTGTTTGAAGTTTAACAGTTTAATTGAAGCACCCACGTCATTCAGTAACACGGCACCGCATGTGTGTGTGTGCGAGCGTGTTTGTATATGCGTTCATGTAGGTGTTAGGTTCGCTATTGCGGAACATTTGGAGTCCTTTGTGTGTCTGTTTTATAGGCGCGTATTGCCCCAGGAAACCGCGCTTATATCACCGCTGACGTAAGTGTACGGGAGCTTCGTCGCGTGTGCGTGTGAGCCCATACATACATTACGGCTGATTACGTTTGGGGTTAGCAGCTCGGGTACAAGCGCTGTCTGTTGTTTCTTTCCATGTAGCCCAAGTAGGAGAAACTTGTATTTTCCTCTCAAGTTGAATAGCCTCAGTTGTTTTTATTTTGTCATTATCATGGCAGAATAGAAACAATCTCCACATCAAGCGCTCCGGGTTAGTCTCCAAAGAGCGGTATTACAATCGAGCCCACAGGGCCCTGGACGACATCCTACATGGGATACTGATCCGCTTTAGTGCTGCATCTACAATGCTAGAAGCAGGTGCTGTGATCCCTATTCACATATCAACCCTAAGACCGTATTCATCCAATGTTTCTCTTTTTATTGATCCTCCAAGCAGGATATCCACTGCAATCCCTCTTGTAAGACCTCTGTTTGTGATGCGGTGCTCTGACTCAGCCTCTCGCTCTCATCTCTGCTTTACTGAGCCCGTTTCATCTCCTCTCTTATGCAGACATGATGTGACTCGTTGTATGACGGTGGTCCCCAACCTTTTTTACCTCACGGACCGTTTTCATGTCCGGCAATATTTCGCGGACCGGTCAAGAAGGTCCGGCGGAATAACGGGGGGGTAGTAGTCGTTGCGCATAATTGGCACATAATTAGAGAGGATCCAGTCAATTTTCAAAATAAAACGTTTTTCAGGGAAAAATAAATCTTTCTGTGGTACGGACCGGTTCCAAATGGCCCGCGTACCGGTACCGGTCCGCGGCCCGGTGGTTGGGAATCACTGTTGTATAATACCAAAGCTGATATGTCTGTACAAAGGGAGTATTATTGGAAAATATGAATGTTAGTCCGTTACCAACTCTGTATGGATGTAATGGCTTCTGTCTATTTAGTTTCCTGTTAGGACACGATGTTATTTCACTCTTTTTTTTTGTCGAGTGGATCAATTATCAATCTTTCCGCGTCTCTCTCATTGTTCTGCTTCTGCTTTCTTACTTTCTTAGAATACTATTGAAAGTAAAACAAGCAGTGAAAACCTCCTCAGCAATGGAAAACGGTTTGTAAGCTCAAATAGAGAGAAGAAAACACCGGTTGCTGACATTAGCCAGCCCCGCCTTTCATCGCAAACTGCAAACATCTCGCCTTTTTGCATCTCCGTTTTGGAACAGATTATGTTGTATACAGTTAGATTTGGTTTCCTCCAGCTTCATAGTTACACTCTCCTGAAAATGTGTCTAACATGATGTTAAATGCAAGCTTATGAAGTCATATTTTATTACACCTTTTGGATAAAAGTTTGAACTTAACCAGACAGATAAAATCATTGTTCAGCTGTCGTTGGGTTTTTTTGTGACGTCTCAAAATCTTGTTTTTATGGCATTTAAACCATTTGGGGAAAACCCCCTAATCCCTTATCTGGGTTATAAAATAAACACGTCAATGAGCCCTGTTCCTCATTACCTCTTTTTCTCTCTGTGCTTTCCCAGGTAGGGCAGTTCAGTGAATTTCTCCATGAATGTACGTCACAATGATGATGACAGACCAGATTCCGCTGGACTTGGCTCCGCCCCCCCTCCTGAACGGGGAGGTCCCTCTCATGTCTCACATGGTTAACGGTGACGCAGCACAACAGGTAAACACTCACATACACGTGTGTCATTTGCATTCAGTCATTCTATTGCAGAATGACCGTCGCCTCTCCACATTCCCGCGTGCAGATGCAAAAACACAGTCGTGCACGCCCTCTCTGTTGTCGTTTCGTCACATGGCTCATGTGTTGTTGTCGCTGCGGGAAATGAATAGCTGCCCTGCTGTTACAGTAAAGCACTGGGAACAAAAATAAATAAAGACACATACTGTACACTTGATCTGAGAGATAACTGGCTTAGAAGACGGGCCGCAGCCCCTTCGCTTGAATCAGTTCAGGAAAAGGATCGGACCTTTTCTCCGTCGCTGACCGATCTTATCAGAATCCTGGGCCGCCTTCAAAAGACCCCGGCCGAGCTCCTCTGCACAGGCGAGATGAAGGGACTTGACGTCATCAAAACAGCACAGTTAATGACCTCGGTTAATTCCTGTGGCCACGGGTATTTTTTCACCCTGTGCGCTTTGTGTGGACGAGCGATGGCGACGGCGTTTATGCGTCGCCCCCGGGCCTGTTGCCCCCGCAGCCCAGAGGAAGCACGGTGGGAGGGTTTTGGCTGCGGCACATAACAGTTAGGGAGGAGGGATTTGGCTGTAACACACAGTAGTTAGGGAGCTCTTTTTATCGTGACACCCTGCAGTTTAAACTTGTTTCCCAGTGTGGAATCAGGATTCTAGACCGATGATTATAAAGATTTAAACCTGCATCCGTGTATGTCCCTGTTTGTGTTTATTTGTTTGTTTCCTAGTCTGTGTCACAGTGCGTGCGTTTCTTGTACACTCATAGTGTCTGTGTTGAGTCTGAGTCTGCTTTCCTGTCTGTCTATCTGTGTCTACCTGCCCACACCTGCATGTCTGTTTACCTGTGTGTCCCTTCAGTGCATGCAAGCAACACATCAGGAGTATTGGAAGTGCGCAACAGTGTATTATTCCACGAAGAAATGCGATATGATAAAAATCAAAGGTTTAAGCTTCAAGGTTTAATCTGTAGCTCAGTGGAATTTCACATCACAAGTTTGTTTCAATTTCCTTTCTGCTAAAATGTTCTTGTTTTAACGATTTGTATCCAAAGACACGTTATGATCTACTTCTAGCCTTTGCTAGAAAGAATTATAACCTAGCCTGAAAGAGAAACTGGTTTGCTATTATCCAAACAGCAAAACGTTTTGCAGATTTTCTGTGGAAGAAACATTCTTTGGTCACAGTTAGTTTCCAACCTAATACAGAACATTGACTGACTGGACCATTATAACTTATAACTTTATAACTTCTGAGACTAATAATGAAATGAAAACCGCACCAATACCCTAAATCACAATTTCGCATAAAGTAATGTACAACATTAATCTCTACTAATGCTATAATCTGAGTTTTTGCTGGTGTCACACATATAGACATACACACAACTAACCACATGGTCTCATACGGGGGTTTTCTCAGGGAAATATGGATCGCCCTGTACTATGCTGGGGTTCCCATAGCAACAACAGCCGCTGCAGCAGACAGAGCAGGACGTCTGTGTGTGTGTGTGTGTGTGTGTGTGTGTGTGTGTGTGTGTGTGTCTGAGGGAGAGGAGCAGGTTAGCGCTGAGATGGGAGAGCATGCACACACCACAGGAGGAGCGCAGCATATGAGGATTTTACGACGGCGCACCTGTAGAGCGTAGACGGGGCTGTAGATGCATGTGTGCGTGAATACGCGTACGCGAATGTGTAATGGAGGGTCACCTGTTTCATGTCTACAGCCATATATGCACTCTCAACAATCTGCATGCGGAGAATATGACGGTAAGGTGCATGCACGCTCCCTTCCTGCATATTCAGCAGAAACACTAGGAAATAAACAACAGTGTCGCATATTTTTGTATGTTTAATTGTGATGCATGCATCACTCTGTGTCTGCACTGGTTTCATTGGTGTCCTGCCAGTGAGTGTGGTTAGAAGAGAAAGGCTTTTCTCAAGTCAGGATCTGTGAGACGGCGGCATTGTCTCACTATTCGCTTACCTAACACCTCATTTGGATGTGTGTGAACTCTGCGTCCGCCCCAGTCTGTTATGTCACTTCTGCAAACCTATTGGCTGCCCAGCAGAGAGTACTTTGTATACTTATGATTGTTGAAGGTGTATGTATCCATGATGCCAATGCGCACAACATAAAGCACACATCAGGTACATAGAAAGGGAACATAAATGAAACTGTGTTGTTTTGTGTACTTGTTGTTGGTACAGGTGATCCTGGTGCAGGTGAACCCGGGAGAGACCTTTACCATCCGGGCAGAGGACGGCTCACTGCAATGCATCCAAGGTCAGTCCCTTGATTCCCTCCTTTATTATATAACCACATTAACGTGTGGCCTTTGGGCTGCTCTGAGGTGTGTCACCTGAGACCTTTGAATTAGATGCGGGCCGCACATGTTTACATGATGGTTGTGGGTTGAAACTCCACTGCACTATATTTGAACAACAAAAAGATAAGAACTTAACCTTAAGGGAAATGTCTTCCCAAACGCATTTAAAGATGGACACTCTCCTCCTATGTAGTCATTGGGCCTTTTATTACGGTTTATTCAAAAAATCAAACTATGGGGCTTGAGAGCTTGCTTGATATATGGGAACAACACTGGGGATAGCACTGGGAATTTCACAAAGTTGAGTAAGTTTCTCTGAAACCTACGATTGGCACATGAGTCAAATTCATCAAATTGGTCCATTTGTTACAACTGCTTCATAGCATAGATGGTAAACATCTCGAGCGAGTCTCTACGCCAAATATTTATTCCTTTAAAAAATGGTAAGTGGAAATGTTTTAAGTTTGATATCATAGATATATAAATATAAATAAATAAATTTGTCCACATTGGTGTACACAATCAGCTTTAATTGTGGTCTTTTAGTCAGTAAGGCTGCAATAGGGGGAAGGGAAAGCTTGCGTCTGCTCCCCTTATTATTGTCGAATTCAATAGGACTAGGATTAGCTGAAAGATGAATAAATGACAGAAAAAGTCAAATGCCGGCGTCTCACTGCTGCATCTGTTATCAGTTCATGAAAAGAGTGGACAAGCAAGCATCTAAAGGCCCTTGCAGGCGGGAAGAGGGGGCAGTTACATGGGAATTCCCCAACTCTTGTGGAAAAGCGTCTCACTTTGATGATGTCAGCAGAGTATGCGGTTACTCAGAAACCTTGAAAGGGTGCCTTTGTTTTCTCCTGAATCTCCTCCTTTCTGTCTGTCTCCCGCGTCTTCTTACACTCCATTCTTTGCCCTCTGTGAAGGTTTTCTTCGAGTGAGAGCACTTTTGGCTCAGACACTGACTCCTGCCCCACCATCCCCACCCCGTACTCCATGTTATCACTAATTACAGCCCGCCTCCTTTTCTCCGCCCGCTGTGTAATTCAATTTTTGCCTGGAATCAGAGGGGCCGCTTTAAAAGGACCTTAGAGGCTCAGATAGAAACGGTACAGGATGACATGGGCAGATGCAAAGATGTGCAGATACAACTGACATTGACTGATTTATAGGTTTGCATCAATAAGTAAACAATGAGAGAGAGGATTACAGATTACAGACTAGATTAAGGGGATACCACGCACAGATTTATAGCAAACACACAATTGCACCGACACAGTGTAGCAGTTGCCTGTTTATTTGTGGGGCCGCATCTCTGCACGTGCATCATCATCGTAGCATCGCAGGCACAGTGTGCATCTGTATCGGGCCTTTTTCTGCGCCTTTTACCGCAGTCAACAATAGTTAATTGAGCGGGTGGCTTTTTGAACGTGCATAATATTAATGTGGGGAGCCCCACACACACACACACACACACACACGCAGGCTCCTGCTCGCTCTCTCCCACTCCGTGTCCCTCTGGAGGAGGTCACTGGGTTTAATGAGAGCTGGAGTGTGGCGATGTGTTTTGAAGGCGAACCGAGTCACTCTTTAGACAGAGACTGGTGTGATTACTGAGACCTCAGAGCTCCGGGTTTTGCGCATGCTTGTGTACTTGTGTGTGTGTGTGTGTGTGACAGAGAGTGAGATTACAGAGACCTCAAGGCACAACCAGGGACCAGCTTTTAAATAAAGTAACCTCTGTTTAGTCGCTGCAATGTGGTGCACGCATGCAAATACGCATACACGTATGCACACAGGCGCTGCCAAGGCAGAACCAGCGGCCCAAAGAGTTTCTTTCATTTGAGCGCTCGGCCGTCCTCCTCCTCTGCTCGCGTCTCCCTCGCCCCTCTTTTGCTCCTCTCGACTACTTTTCCTCCCGCTTCTCTGCTTCGTTTCTGCCCCTATACTTAAACCAAACATGGAACGGCTCGGAGATTATTGTATTTGTTGGATTGATGTTAAGTACTGCTCATTAGCCGCACCACCACTAAATGCTACTGGCTGAATCGTGCACTTTTATTTGCAGCGAAAGTTAAAAAGGTTCAAATTTATTCAGAACTGCACAGTCCGCAGATCCACGTTCGCTCCGGCTGCTCGGAACCTTTTCAGCCATCTGCGTCGCTGATGTCCGTTCTCTGCTTTCCCTTATCGGTTGGCCTCTCCGACTCTCGCTGTGCTATTTTGCCTCAACGACTTAATGAGGGTTTCTTTGTCCCACTTTCGAGGGGGTGGGGGTGGGGGGGGGGGGGACGCCAGCGGCGTATCTGAAATCGGTCTGTTTAATTAGCATGCACCGTTTGAGGGTCTGCGAGCCTCCGTCCCCTGATTAATCAGACTGACCTCTCGGTGCTACGGGGCGGGGGGGGGGGGGTCAGCTTCCACCCCCCGTCCCCCCCCCGCCCCCCTCCCCTCTGATCACTCACCATTTCATCGGCTGCTCTCACGTAAATACTCGCTCTCTCCCCCCTTCTCCCATTCCCCCCCCCACTAAGACCATTCCCCTGAGCTTTCCCACACTCACATCAAAGGACAAGACTCTAGAGGGTGTGTTAGAGCACCCTGCTATGGAATGTGAGTGTGTTAATGTGTGTGTGTGTGTGTGTGTGTTTTACAAGGCTGTGTTGGTTTACTGTGTTGTTTGGTCTTTGTTGGACTTTTATGAGGGATGATGAGGCCGGGGGGAGGGGTGATGGGAGGGGGGGTGAGGAGCAGGAAGCTGTGCCCTGCCGGGGCGGATGTGACATCATTAGACAGGGCGGCAGCAGAGCACTTGTTCTTTTGTGGGCTTGTTTGAGATGACCGTCAACAGTTGAATGGCCTCATTTTTTTATTTATTTTTTACTGCATGTCCTAAATGCACAAGGCCTCAGCAGAGGTGTTAATCTGTGCCTCGTCGTGCATGTGGACTGTTTTGACAGGTGACTGTACGCAATGGCTTTATGATGACATCCTGCTTGTTTGTGGAGTGTGGAGCGTTTCCAGTCTTTTAACAGACTAATGAAGGATCACGCACGAGTGGAAAAAAGGCAACCATCTTTAACATTACTGTTTAAATGGGAGTCGAGTAGGAAAACCGTTTCTTCAGCACAAGAATGTATTGGCCTGAATTTTTGACGCAACCCAGGTCTCCTGGTTGACTTGTTTTTTCAACGTTTTTCTGGAAAACAACCAGAAAACCAAATTGTTCCTCCACGCTTTAGACTTGTGGACATTTAATTTAAAAAGGTCCATATTAAACTGAATTGATTAAACAACTTGACCTGTGTCTGTAAATGCCAAATGCACGCATGTTAAAGTCCCGTGCTGCATAAACACGAGGTCACAATGTGAGATGTAGTCCTGTGCTCTGCTGCAGTCTGGCCCCGACAAACAATGGTTATAGTGGACGTTGCCAGCGGGACCTCGGTGATGTGGTGTTTGCACCAGCTGTGTGCACATGTTTCTTTGCATGTGTGTCATCTGGACAGAGCGCGTGAATCATCGCACCCGTGGTCTGTTTCGTGTTTCACCCGCAGATGTGTGTTGTTTGTCTGCGCTCCCTCTCATTGTTACTCTCCCTCCCTCTGTGGCGGGATACTGATTCTGTTATTTCAAACCTGCGCACTGCTGGAGAGACGTTTCCCTTCACCCTTCACAGGTCTTTTATCAAACCGGTACTTCCCATCAATGACGTCTAAATGATTGGATGCTGCACTGAAAAGCTGCAGATTTATCAAATGACTGATGTGGACACCAATGAAGATATTCTGACTTACTTAGGCTGATTTTCCTCTTCCTCAGTCAGTACAAAATATAGTATAATGCAGCAATCGATCACTGTCGTAATGCAAACCTTTTCATTTTGCACAAAATGGCTTGGGTCCTAAATTGTTATTACACGTAATGAGGCTTCAGCACAAACTGGGATTATTCATTTATGCATTTATAAGTGAAATCAAATTGATGAATGCGGATGCAAGTCAGTGAGTGATTATAAGCTGACGTCAATTCACTTCCCTCTATTGCAAGCATCTCCTGCTTTAAGTGGAAGGAGCTATGCGAGTCGGGGCACTGAGGAGATGAGGAGGGGAATTGGGATGAACCCTGTGTTTTCGCTTCCTTTTCATCCTTCAGCCGCTCTGTCCTTTTCCCTATTTTTGTCTCCGTTCGCTTGTCTCAGTTCTCGTCTGCTCCCTTGTTTGAGTTGGATGGACGATGCTGATATTCCTCTTGCTGGTTTCACCGCAGCGCTCGGCGAGCATGCTGAGCCTCTGAAAACTCTGCACTTGTACACTGCAAGCCCTTTGAAGTAAACGGAAAAGGGCCGGTTGAGAGAAATATGGTGGAAAGTCTCGCGGCTTTTGTTTACATCGAGCCAGATGGCTCTAAACAAGCTGTGGCAGGAGACAAAAATATACTTTTGTCAGATGGGCTTCATTCGGAGGTCTGTTTTTTTCGGCTGGTCCCACTGCTGCTTCAAGCCAGAGTTGGTCGTCCTGGGAATTTTTCACACCCACTGTAAAGTCCACCCATACGGGACGCTTTTACAATCAAACGGAGCCGGATTGAGAATGAATGTGCAGGTGGAAGACAGCTGATTGATGTCCGTATTCCCTGGAAAGAATTGATGTGCATTCAAATCAACATTCTGTGTAATAGTGGGAGTGTGTGTCTTTCTGAGGGTGAAACTAGACAAATGAAGGAGCATGTTTCTATTATTTTTATGAGACTTGCCCGTAGCCCCAGACACTATAAATCCCATAACCCGCATCCCGCATCATAGCTTTTTCAACCCATAGAGTGGCACCTTATGAATTACAAACAAGTAGACAAAAACTAAATTCAGACCTCACTATCTGCACTCCCAATACCTGCTGTCAATTAGCTTTAGTGTGATTTAAATCTCCCAATATATTTTAATTACCTGTCAGCCTAGAAA